CTGTGAAGACTTCTTTCTTTTTCCCAGAAAATCGGGAGCAAAGACTTGTTCTGCTCTCAGTGGCAGACATTAGCTAAGTTTATTGTCTTTTCTCCCTCCTTGCATCTTCCTGGGAAGCTACCTGCTTCTCTGCCCACACCTTGATTGCAGCTTTAGGAAAATACATCCCAACTAGTGCTTCTCCAATATCAGCCATCAGCAAAGCCATGGCATGTCCCATTTTCCCGGGGAAATGCCCTCCTTGGAGACTTGCTGGCCCACATCACGTCTGTAACCATAGGAAGGCACCTTCAGCGAGGGCCCGCTGGCAGTGGGAAGGGGATGGGCAGATTTCTATTAAGCAGGAATTGCACGGCGTGCAATCCTGGGACGCTTTCACAAGCCGGCAGCACTCTTTGATGTGGGCTCTTTAGGAGCCGCCTTGTGACCCAGCCGGCTGCGCTGGGGCTGAGACTCCCAAAGCCAGGATTATGAGTCGGGCTCAGCTGCCGGCTCATCCTATAGCTCCAGGCAAGGGCTTGGCCCTTACTCCTTATTTCTTATCTGGAATGGAGCTATCAGTGTTACCTTCCCCTTGAAAAAGCATTGCGGAGAGGGTAGAGATTTGCTCGTTACTGATTTTTAGGGAGAAGGGAAAGGAAGAAATGCTGAGTTGATGCCATGAACTGGGTCCAGGAGGGTGAACTGACCTTGCAAAGTTCCCGCCAGTTTTGGGGTGTGCATCCTGAGAGACCCCAGCACAAGGTGGGAGCTCCTGCCTGGCAGGACAGGCTTTTGGGGCCAGGTGATGTGTGTTGGGACATGTCTGGAAGATGAAAGGGCTGATTCTTCTTTTGATCATGAAATTCTCATAAATGTTAATGGGAATTACTTCGAGGTCTAACGAGGGTTGAATTGCAGCCCCCAAGGGAAGGAAGGGGTTGAGGACCAACCAAGCTTTGGGTGGGAAATAAAAATGCTTGAATTTACCTTGTCCCCCACCTATGAGAGCAGAAAATCAGTGAGTCAGGGGCTGCCCAGCATCCCTGCATACTCTTCTGGGAAAGGGATTTGCCAGGTGTCCCCCACTTTGCCCAACACTGCTGGCAACTGCATGACAGGCTTTAAGCATCACCTTAACTCTAGGCATCATTTTAATTCACCAATCTAATGTTTTCCCAGTGTATAGCTTGGATTTTCTTCTTTTTCGTTGGTTTTGTTTTTTTCCTTACATCTCTCCTTCCCTTTTGTGTCTTTCAGGTTCCCACAGACTTCAAACTCACCTGCTCCAACTACTTGCCGCCTCCCCTGGCTGAAACGTGACCCAGAGTTTCCAAGTATCGTTACCTTGGGCATATTTAATTATTATATTCCCCTTTAGTTGTTAATTAGAAGCCAAGAGTAGAGGGGATGAGTAATTCCCTGGGATGTCAAGTACACACTTGCCTGAGCTTGCAAAGAAAACATCAGCCCCCTCAGTATAAAGGTGTGAAATAAAAAGATGTGATATTTTCCTTGATGTCTTTATAGCCTTGCTCCTGAGATCCAGAGATCCTTGTTGTCTATCCTGAGAATGATTCACGGATCCTGTCTCTCCCAAGAGCAGCATAGCTGTAGAGGCAGGATCTGACACAACAGCTCTTTACATCCCCATCCAAAAGTGTCTCCCATCTCAGGAATGGGCATGGGATGGGGGGGAGAAATGCTGCTCCAGCTGGGGCAGCAAACCTGGGATGGCAAAAGAAAAAAGCCCTTGCAGACAGGCTCATTCTTCATTTCAAGGAGTACTTAAGTGTGCAGATGCAATTGCTCATCCCTCTCCACTCCCTCCAGCCATATTATCCCTGTCCTTGAAGGATGAGGATGGTTATTTTTGCCAATATTTTCCCAAACTCAGTATCTTAGCACTCCTCAGCATTCCTCTGCCAGGCAGATAAAGGCATAGTGAATTTTTGGTTACATTTGAAGTATTTTCCAAGAAATAGCTTCTGGGTGTGTAACAATCCTCATACCTGTTGTGCTGTCAGGGCCAGCTTCTCCATGCAACCTGCCTAGAAAGCCAGCAACCTGTGCCAAGCATATTTGATTATATAATCTATATTTATATCTATCTCTAAATTTTATATTAAATCATAGTGGATTAAACAATGTTATACAAAATGATCATACTATATCAGTTATGTTAGTAGGAGCTAGAAAAGAGCAAACACTGGTCACAGGGCATTGCCTTGCCAAACCTGTGCAGAGTAACTGGAAGGAGGATGGTGATGGTCTCTTGCTGGATTTTAAGACCCGTGTTCTAGGGAAGAAGCTGAATAATCCTTCAACTATAGTCACATTAATCCTGGCTGCAAAGCAGCCCCGGTCTGTGCAGCAGTGAAACCCAGGGGCTTAGTGAGGATTTTATGGGATTTCCCCCCTTGTAAAAGTGGCAAAAGGGAAGGACTCCTGTCCTGAGCACTGCTTAGGACTCAGGACTGGATGCTGTAGCTTTGGATGTAAATAAATTTCATTATATTTTATTATTTTATTTATAAAATAAATACATTTAATTTAATTTTATAGATGATGGGCCTTTCAAACGAAGGGAAATGAGTGCTAAAAGCCACGATTTCAATATTAAGACTTTCAGAGCCAGCTGATTCAAAGTGGCAGCTGTAATTTAATTGTGTTGCAGATGTGCCAAACCCAATACCATAATTAGTGATTCAAAATAATATTTACAGCTCAAATCATACATATTTAGCAAGAAGTTGAAATTTCCATCTATTTACAATTTTACCAGCTTAAAAAGGTCTCTAAGCTCAGTTTCCCCCCCCATTTTGCTTGGTTGGGTTTGAAGAGCCTGGCAAAGAAACACTCAGCAATGCTGGGAGGGAAGCTGGGGATTTTGTGCCCACCCATAGCACGGGGCTTGGAACTGGATGATCTTTAATGTCCTTTCCAAGCCAAACCATTCTAAAATTCTGCGATTTTCCCTGCAAGGACAGCAGTGTTTGCTGGCCTAGAGCAATACCCCATTGCGTGCCTGAGTTCACGCCAGCACTTTGCCTTTGTGCTCTGGTATCCAAACCAGCATGTGGGAGGGGGGACCCACTGCAAGGCTGGCCCTGACACCCACACTCACCCCAAACAGAGCCACCGAGGGGAAAAAACACCCTCCTTAATATGCTGCACGCGATTGCTGCCTCCTTATCCACAAGTACAATGCCACATTGATAGAGGTGCCAGAGAACCTTGGTGAAAATAATTACAAAAAGAGGAAAAGGAGGTTGTCACATTGAGAATCGCATGATCCCTGCTCCAGTGCTGCTTTTTAGAGCCCTCCTCTGCATGCGGGGCAGGGACACTGCTGCCGGCAGGGCTCAGCCAACGCACAAGGAAATGCCAGCTGGGATGTGTCTGCCAGCTCTCCTAGAAATAAATGAATCTGTGCCTCAAACCAGTGGCCTTTGCAGGGAAGGAAGAGCTGTTTTTCCAGTGCATCCTCTTCCAAAGCTGCTTCTTGCTGGGATGGGGGTGATATTGTCCCATGGATTCAGGCACTGTCAGAGGGCACAGCACCCATGAGAGTTATCATGTTAAAATAGGTCTTAAACCTAAAATAATTTAACAATTTCTGAAGTCATGACCTTGAGCCAGGGTTTCCCTATCCAATCTGTGTCCGGGCAGGGAGTGGGCACTGGAGAGAGACTCATGAAGGTCTGTATACCAAAATTCACACCGATGGGGATCAGCACATCAGTGTTTACACTGCGGCTCCGTGAGGGTTTGCCCTCTGTTCCCCTCATCTCCAACCTCCTCCCAGTGCCCCAATGACTGGATTCTGTAGGATCCAGTGCACAATCCCACAAAGCAGCAGTAATGATGTTCTGAGGCTGTGCTTTTGGCTTCACGGGACATTGTAACTCTGGGTTGATTTTGCTGGCTTGGCGATCTCTCAGTTGGAGATGCTCCTGACAAGGAGTGAGTAACGATGTGTGTGGCAGCAAAGGGTGAAGCGAGGGTGCTGGGGACAGAGAGGGGACAGCCCTTGGCCCGAGCTGGGTGCTGACCCTGTAGAGAAGCTGGGGCTGAGATGGCAATGTGGGTGTTGGAGGCCACTGTGGCTGCCCAGGTGGCAATTGCCTCTATCCTCCTGTCCCTGGCTGCCTCCCAATACCTTCAATTGCTCCCCCAGTTCTCCTGACCTCTACAAATGCCTCCCCTAGTTCCACACCTCCAACTGCCTCCCATTTCCCCTAACTGCCTCCCTGCATCCCAAACTGCCTCTCAGTTCTTCTGACCTCTGTATTTGCCCTCCTGACACCTCAGCTCTCCCAGATGCACCCTAATATTTCCAACTGCACCCCCTGTATTTCCGTGAGCGCCCCCCACCTCCTCCAATCCTACACTTCAGTTCACCTCCAGCTGCCCTGACCTTTGCAGCTGCCCCCTCCAGTCCTACCCCATCTCCCCCAAATGCCCTCCCCAGTGCTACCTCATTCCCCCCAACTGCCTCCCCCCCTACTTCACCAACTGTTCCCTCAGTGCCTCTGCCCTGCTCCCTCGGTCCCATCTCCCCCACTGCCCCTGATACCATTGCTCTGCTCCCCGGTCCCACTGCCCTGATTCCCCAGTTGGGATTGGGGTGCTGTGGGCTGCCCTGCTCCTCTGGTCCCATTGCCCTGCTTCCCCAGTCCCATCTCTCCCAGTCCCACTGCCCTCCTCCCCCGGTCCCATCTCCCCCATTCCCCCCGGTCCCATCCCCCGGTCCCATCTCCCCACTTTCCCCCGGTCCCATCTCCCCCATTCCCCCCGGTCCCATCTCCCCACTTTCCCCCGTCCTCCCCTCACACCA